AGCTCTATAAATGCCAGTTCTGGTCATGATTCCCTCAGTGGAAGGGATGAACATCTTTAGAACGATCTTCTCCCTTGAGTAGTTGACCAGAGGATCCTTTCCCAGAGAAAAGATTTCCTTTGAATGAAGCTGAATAAGGGAGCTTTAACTGGGCCAGGAAGAAACTGTTAATAGGTCTATTAACAAAGGAAGTTGATTATAAATACCCAAAAAGATTTCATGCAGTGATTAATTGTGCGTGTGTTCTGCAGAATTTTTTTAAATGTTATTTAAAAATAATGTATTAGTTTCTCTTTCTCAGCAAATCTTAAAAGGTCATTGAGACTTCACATGAAATGCACACAATTCTTGTCAAAAAAAGATCTTCCTCCTGCACCACAATTGTTCATCCAAGTTCCTCCCACAGCCGGACATTCAGATAGATGATCTGGGAGAGTCTGAGTATTTTCAGGTGCTCCACTGAAGGCAAACATCTGTTTTCCATTGGCAAGCTGCTCAAAGAACCACGATTCGCACTAGCAAGCAACTAAATTAACATGTATCTCACATGAGGAAATGAAATCGTATAAGGAACTCGAAGTGACTGGTACCCATCTAAGCAGCAGGTTGTCGTGGCCCACAGAACCGGTCATTCTTGTGGCTACTGATGCACAAAGTTTTTTCTCTCTGAGATGTGCCGCTGTGGTGTCCTACAAGGTCGCCCAGGGAGCACAGGACCTCAGAACACATGAAACACTGTGTATCAATCTAAAGCATTGTTCTGGGTAAAAGAAGAAGGGAGGAGTGCTGGGGACCCTCCCTCCCCCAGATGAAGGCTGGGAAGATGGGGAACAAGCTTCCCTAAGGCAAACCGTATGTGGAAAAGAATCCAAATACATGCTTGGAAAGCAACACTTTTATGGAGCCAAAGGGAAAGACTCTCAAAACATTTATCAGGATGTAATTTCAGGGGAATTTCGAATTCCCCTTTCTATCCAATACCTTGTTTCTCCTATGAATTAAGATCACAACACATGTAGTCTTGCTTCCTAAAACACTCTCCAAGAATTGAGGATGAATACTTTTAAAACATTACTAATTTGGGTATATAAAATTAAATTATTTTAATTTGGTTTGTTTTTATT